CAGATCTGAATTTTGTATGTCCAAAGGGGAGCTACGATGATTTTGTTAATTAATAATCTATTTTCAAGCAATAATTTCTAATTGTGACCAATAAACCAATAGATTTCCCCCTAAATGTAACTGTAAATGCTTTTTTTTGTTTGAATATGTTTCTTTCGTGTAACAGTCTAGCAGTCTTCATTTAGGTAAGAAGTCAATATTTCATCATTCAGGAATTTTACAATTGAAACCTTCCGGAACGCTTAATGGTGGTTTCCTGTTTGAAGGCTCATCGGACAAAACAATTCCGTACCATCGCTATGCGTCATCGCTTTGTGAAACGCCAACGTTTTCCTCTAGCTACGCCTACCCATAAACACGTTGCGATCTTATTTTAGCATCAGTTGATGTGGAGGACAGTTTTACAATTGGAGTAACTTAGTAATGGTGAACTAGACCGCGAATACAGAAAATGTTCAAAACACCCATGACTTTCTACAATTCAAAATCTGAAAAAAATAGTATGTTAACCTAAACCTCGAATTGCTATAATATATGTATCAGTAGTTGTGAAATATTTCATAATAAACAAACAACAAATGAAGAATTATAACATAAAAATTTAGGGCTATCTTCCCGAAGTAAACAAAAACGCAGAAATGGTAAACGTAGAATTGAATTTATGTGAGCGATCTTTACCGGCGAAATAGTAGTTTATGCAATTAGTTTATAATATTAAGCTTCTGTGAGTACATGTTTTTAAAACGAGCGACGTTAGGAGCGATTTGTACGAATGTTATAAAGCAACATTATAAAAGAGTTGTATACACAATTTTTGAATTATAAATTCATAAGCGAGTCAAACTTAACTTTGCGATACAATTTTCTGGTGACGTGATTTGACTTCTGCGGGAGAAACCAGTGGTCGGTTCTTTCGTTTACCCCAATCTCCGCAAGATGATCTCGCTGCGATTGGCTGAATGTGTGATGACGCAATCTTCCGTGCAGTAAGATCTAATACGTGCCTTAAAATGCCCGAGTGTGAACGATTTCCTGCAGCCAAAAAGCTGCTTTATAACGTTGGAATACAAAAGAAGACTTGAGCCGAGTGCTTCGTTTGCGGGTGGGACAGGGCCGAGGCCTTCCGCCCACCCGCTGATGGAGGACGCGCGGTCGCAGAGAGTGGAGGCGGAGAGCCCGCTGGGCGGGGGGCAGGGC